AGAGTTGGGAAGAGTGACCTAATCGTCCTAGACTTGTAAAGGTTCTGCTTCCCTCGGGATATTACTGGCGAATTGCTTGAGCGAACGCAAAAAATCTACGGTCTATTATGTACCGCAATGTGTTTATAAGGAAATGTTTAACAGTAGAAGAAGGTAAGCGCGAGCACGAGCTCCGTTAAAAGGCAAACGAGCTCAATCAAGGTAAGCCCAAGAGGGAATGGGTCGTGCTCAAGGGTGAGTTAGTGCGTACTTCTGATTCATCGCAGTCTCAAATGACTCGAACGAGTCAAATTTCGGGAAACGAGTAGGCGTGCATGGTGATTCAACCTCTCTGAAATGCTTTCTGCTTAACGCTCGCAGCATTGTGAACAAACTTGCAAATTTACACGCTTTTTTGAGCATCAAAAGACCAGATATCGTCGTCATAACAACATGGCTACACCCCCGTATTCTTGATTCTGAATTAACAATAAATCTGCCGTATAATGTATTTCGTGGCGTCAAAAGGTAAAAAAGGCGGCGGAGTTTGTTTTTTGATCAAATCTTCCATAATTTCCGAAGAAATCAAGTTGCAAGGAGAGTTGACAGCTGACGTTTTATGCATTGAGCTTATAAGCTGCAGCATTTCACCTACAGTGAGGTTAATTGCTTTGTACCGCCCTCCTAACTCTACGTCTACTGATGATTCTTCACTGACTGTTAAATGCACTACTGGATCTTTGCTCTGCCCAGCCCCAAACAATACTATTAGGAGATTTTAACATTGTCATTGATCGGAAGATTATGAAACCTCAGAGCTGTGCTTCGGCAAAATTTCTTGAATTTTCCCAAAGCTGCGGTGAGATGCAGCATGTCAATCAACCTACTCATCACTGCAATACTTTAGACCTTATCTTATCCACTGAGCCAGTCGTTTCTAATGTGACGGTGCTTTCTCCTTTCGCTAGTTCTGATCACAGAATCGTCGCCTTTAGTGTACGTCAGAAAACGTTACCAGTTGAAGTCCTCCCTACACCTGACTTCATCAACACAGATTTCAACATAATGAACTTTTACATACGGAGCATCAACTGGTACAGTGTTTTCGATAATTACACTTCTGCATCTGAAGTTTATGAAAGGTTTTGCGCGCAAGTATACGCGATAATGTCCCTAGCCGTTCCTTTTAAATATCCTTAGCATACGTTCCAGAAGTTCCCTCCTCTTATCAGGAACCTGATAGATCAGAAAAATAGACTCCTTCAAGTCTGTCCTTCTCCCTTCACGGATTTCTCCAATAAAAAAGTGTGCTCTGATCTAGGCTATCTTATCATAAAGTTTCTCGCCAATAAAGAAAAACAAACCCTAGCTAAACCCAATCTGAAGGGCTTATTCCAATATATAAGATTGAGAACTAAAGCTCGCCCACGCCTACCAGTCTTTCTGACTCTACCGGTCGCACGTTTGCATCGGACAAGGAGAAGGCTAATGCCCTCGGGGCATACTTTGCTACGTATTCTCCGACAGTAACGACAATGAGGAAGTTCGAACTGACAGACACGACCGTATTTCCCATTGCCTCTCCGAAGTCTTCTTTCATCCCAATGACGTCTTGGAAGTCTTGAAATCTCTTAAACCGTGCATTTCTGAATGTTACGACGGCATACCACCAATAGTTTATAAAAAGTGTGCTACCTCTTTGTGTCAGCCCCGGCTCACGTCTTCAACATATCGATGCTTCTAGGCGAGGTACCTGCTCTTTGGAAAGAATCTATCGTTTCTGCCATTCCTAAAATACTCAAAAGCTCCCTGCTCTCCGACTTCCGCCCTATTAGCCTAACTCCGGCACCTGCCAAAGTTATGGAAAGATTGGTCAGAGTTAAGCTCGTAGCTCGGCTCCAAAGATTCAAAGTCATCCCAACTGAGCAACATGGATTCCTCAAAGGAGCTTCAACCTGCCCCAACCCTCTAGACAGCATCTTTGACTGCTCTCTGGCCCGAAACAAAGGCGAAGCTATTGTCGTACTGTACACAGACCTATCTGAGGCGTTCGATCGAGTCTGTCATTCGAAGTTGCTGCTGAAGTTAAAATTTCTGGGTATCAGCGGGTCGCTTTTGAAATGGTTTGAGTCCTACCTGTGCCAGCGACATGTGAGAGTCAGGGTTGGGCACAATTTCTCAGAAAAATACTGGTGCAGTAGCGGCGTACCTCAAGGGACGGTCCTATCACCGTTGATGTTTCTCATCTATACGATGGATCTCCCATCTTTTATTAGAACGTCTCCCGATATCAAGGTTCAAATGTATGCGGATGACATTAAGGTTCACGCTTCTTATAATTCTTATAACAAAAATACGGTTCAAGCTGCCTTAAAAAATTCAATCATGAAACTGACCAAGTGGGCTGCCATATGGGGGCTTTCTGTAAACCTCAACAAATGTTCAGCATTCCATATTGGTGAAGGTGCTCCAGGAGTTTATGAGTTAAATGGTACTGTTCTGAAAACCTGCCGTGCCATAAGAGACTAGGGGTAATCATCAATGATAACCTCAAGTTCACAGATCATTTTGATAAAGTCACCAAGTCTGCTTATGCAGTTTTGTGCCTCATCTTTCGGAAGCTCAGTAGCAAAGATACGAGAACATTGCTTCGACTCTACAAGGCCCTTTCCTACCACATCTAGTACTGTTCCCCCTCATGGAATCCTGTCCTGAAAAACGACATATCAAAATTCGAGAGGGTACAGCAAACCATCACAAGATTGCTCTCTCTCAGATGCTTCCCATCTTTCGCTTACGATTGGCTACCTTGATGTAGGGAACGTTTAAGGTTGCTAAATCTGAAACCCTTGATTCTGAGGCGAATCGAGAATGACTTAGCTTTGTTGTTTCGTATCTTAAAAAACGATTCAGTTCTGAGACCTAGTAAATACTGGGTATTTCGACCCAGCAGTGGCAGGTCGTGTGGCTTCAAGGTACATCATGCAAGGATCCTGTCTAAAAACTATGCTCTACTATTCAACAACTTTTCTTTCGTTCGGTAAGATGGCTCAGCCATCTTCCAGGTGAGCTTCTAGTAGCATCCAGAGCCAATACTTCCAGAAGAAATTTGAATGAACTCAATCTGACAGAAAAGTTGAGATTAGACTACTGATGAGCATTTTTTGTAGGAATGTTGATGTCCGTTTGTCGATTTTTCTTTCTTAGTTGCTTGTCGTGCTAATATGCAGGACTGGAGCTGGATATCGGTCTCGAGTAGTGGTTGCAGTACTGTGAAGAATCAGTGGATAATCGTCCTCCTTCGACACCATTATTTGTGAATTGCTGTGAATGTAACTAACAAATCTGTCGCACAAAATTGGTACTATACAGCTTATTATAGAGCTGCTTCCACCCTCCCAGGCTCAACGCCTCACTGCAATTTCTTTATCTACTCTCACTTGGTCAGACAAAACACTATGTACTGCCTACTGAATCATTAGGTATGGGACGAGTATGTTTTATATTAGAAACTTCAATAATTTCTTCGCAGGTGCGAGTCAGCCAGTACGCTTCAAGCAATACTTGGGTCTGGGTCTTACGCCCTGCGTTCGTGTTTAGATCAAAGAGGCACTGCCTGCTTGAGCCCCTGCCACACTGAGGGCAGTTATTAGTCCTGTGCTGACCTTCTTGAGTCGTCCTTTTGTGTACGGCAGGCTTGGTGTGTTGGAAGCGCGACTCCTTTTTATCTTTTCTTTTTATCTTTCTTTTTTACAGCAATTATACGAGTTTAGCGTTTGTTTCTTTGTTTGTTCTCGTCTTAACACGCTTGTCCAAACTAACACCTTCTGCCCTGTTTGTAGCGCACTATTGAGTGCACAAATAAATAAATTTAAAAAATGTCGACGAATATATGTACGAGCGTCAAGGCTTCACTGCATGACAACTTGAAAGTAGTCACGACTTTCTCGTCCGTGGAGCGTCTATTACCTTCTCATCCGGACACCACTATATCTAGTAATTTTGAGCATTTGAAATCTAAGGAAAGACACACAATTTTTCGTCCAAACGCGCACTCATACAAACTTGCACTCGCCAATATGCCCAGGGAAAAGTCATTTTGCATGTTGACTCCCAGGATGGGAACCTAGGATCGCATTAAGGAAATATAGAAGCAGTTATTTTTTCGTGCATTTGTACCAGCATCTTGTAGTTCGCCAGTGTTTTACATTTTGCTCAAATCGTTCTTCTGAGTAAAGCACACCGAACTTTTATTCAACATATAACTCTAGCGAAGCACGTATATGCAATACTTCAATTGGAGAAATTCTCGAAAGGAATACCATGGCGAATATATATATTGAAACTTACTGAGCCTCAACGAATAGGAAGAGAAGACTAGTACACAAGAGTCTTACCATAAACCTTGACATTACGAAGGCTACCACTGCAGCACCAGATGAGCAGCCTACTAAAACTTCGTAATTTTCTATAAGAAAAGCGATAAGAAGAACTACAATCGATGATTTCGACAAGTTTACGAGAGCAATTTATAAATGGGTAGAAACGCAACACAATCATTACCCAAAATCTATCACGCTGCATGTACCACCCGAAGTACTGCTTTAACTGATTCTTATAAATTAACGAAATCCAAACAAACGTCATTCCGTCAAGCGAGTTGGAACTTACGTTGAGAAAAAAGAGAAAGAATTCTGTAATAAATATGTAGGCACCGGTTCAAAAGACAGTCTTGAAACCCTCCACTCAAGAGTTACAACTCCTAAAAGTTAGAAAAAAAAAGACTACAACCGGAATTTAAGCCTCAAATGACCCCATGCATAATTTTAAAAAATAACAACTTTCAGGCGTGTCTTAACGGTGTGCCAAATCACAGTCAGCCAATCCTCGTGATTATGTAAGCGAAATGGAAAACGATAGAGGCATTAAGCACAATTCGCAATAGCACGACTTGTCGAACTGCAGTTAGAAACGCTTCATGCAATGCAATGACTTAACTCGAGAAATGATGAAGGGGCGGTTCAGCTCAACTTCTTTTCAACAATTCCGGCCGCAATAGTTTGACCACCTGCACGAATTGTGATACGACCAAGTGCCTTGCAATTTGTGTAGGTATCTATAGCCACTTCACGTTCTGTTTCGATCTCGACCAATCCACTCATTTGCTTTGCTAAGCATCTAAAAAATAAGCATCAGAAATACGACCAACTAAAATGCCACATCCTCACAGCACGCTATGTAAATTTTAAGAAATTCACAATCAACTGGACCCCGAGAGAGAACAAAAAAAAGGAAGTCCCAGACGGGACCCCAATTCACAAAACAATGAGTTGTGAGTCATGGCTCTGATGATGAGTTGGTTATGGAGCAGCAGTCGGGCACAGTCCCAAAAAGAGGTGCCTTATATGTGGCGAAATTGGGATTTGCCTGTTGAAGTGATGTAAAAGAGTAGAGTAATGTTGTCTGACAAGGGATAGATACGAGGGCTGCCTTTTATATATGGGATTAGAGAACAAAAATGAATTTTAAACATTCGAAATTGTTTTATTGTTGTTCAAAATATTTCCTATTGAGTTTTATACTTTTTTGCGCGCGTTTGAACCAATTGCCGAAACACTTTTGCCACTCTGTTTGGGGTATCTCCAAACATGCATTCTGAACGCATCAACCGCTTCTTCAAGTGACGAAAAACGTTGACCTCCCATTTTACCTTTACGTAAGGGAATAAGAAGAAGTCATTCAGTGCCAAGCCAGGACTATATGGCGGACTACTCATCAAATCGATGTTTTGAATGCTCAAAAATGCAGTTGTTTGGGCCAATGTGTGAGAGCTCGCATTGACATAGTGAAGAGTTTTTTTCCGAGCAAATTGTTTTGACAGTCAAATGTTCATGTAATATTGAATGTATGCTGTTTCCATTAATGCCTAAGGTTGTCTCAATCTCATTATAAGTCACATGACGATCTTGCAATATTAGTTTGCGCACAGCATCAATGTTTTCTGGAACAATAACTGNTTTTGGAGACCACGAAAGTCGTCTTGGAGTGAACTACGACTTCGAATGAATTCACCATACCATCGAAAAACAATGGTCCTTTATCGCCAAAAAATGAACTAAGTTCGTCCGTGTACTGTTGTTGAATTAAACCACGTTGAAAGTTGTAAAAAATAATCGCACGAAAATGTTCACGATTTAATTCCATTTCTTGGCCTGAATGAACCTTTCAAGATAGGTTTTCTGGGAAACTACAACCTCTAAAAGGCCAACTTTACGATAGAGCTCTCAGTTGCCAGATTGCAACACTAGGGTTGTCCAATCCCGAAATATAAAAGGCAACCCTCGTACTGGGCTGTAGTGGAAACGTAATTTAAAATATGATGTAAAATACCGTCCCTTTGAACGCCATTCTTGAATCCACTCTCAACTATGCTACACGATTCTGAGAATCTAGTTATACATCCGCTTTCCCCTCGTTCCATACCAATGAATCGCTCGGACAAGCGAACGGAGTAGTCACTACCGTGTAGCGATGAGTAGTTGATAGGACGGAGGACATGGAAGTAGAAGATTTGTGTCCTTATGTAGCGCTCATTTTGTTTTCTTATAAAACGTGGCCTAACCGCTTGCAAAAAGCTCTTGCGCTTCACAAAGACTATTTATGTACACCCCTCCCTCACATTTGAGGAACTCTGGGATTAGTAATAAAACAAGTCTTTCTATTGTACCCACCGACCGAAAAGGAAGCACCTCGACCAGTTTTACCCAACCCCCATAACTGAATAGAACTGCCAAGATGGTGTTACCAATTTCTTCGCAGCTCTATTCGACAGGGGAAGGAGGGAGTTGAGGGAACTCCTTCCCGCCCGAACTCCCACGGCAAACGGCAATGATTTCGCGGCACTGTTTTTTTTTTATTAAAAGACATGTGAAACACATGTGAACGTAGTGCAAACATAAACAACGGACACAAAGGAGAACCGTTTCCTCCCACCGTGAATTTAAAACCTTTTCCCTTCCACATCGCGCGATTGGGTGCGGCGGACGGGACGCGATTTTCGGGGAAAAATTACCACACCCTCGACAGGGTATTCGAATGACTCATCCGTTCAGAGTGCTTTGGGAAGGGATATTGTTCTCATCTTCGAAGACAGAAATGCCCTGATATATATGAATTGAAGATATTGAAAAAAATAATGCTGCAGCAATAGGAGAACAACTTATGTCGTGTACTTTGATCCTGAACTGTTAAAGAGCTCTTTCCTCCAGGTTAGCATGGTGATGTGATATAAAGCGACCCCATGGTTCTACTTTTAGCCCTGAATCAGCAGCTTGGCTATTTCAAAGTTGTGGTTTATGAGGCGTTTTTTAATCTAAGCACCATTCAGTCGATATCGCTTCCGCGCGATGAACTCTCAAATTGATTTTGCGATGAACCCCTTCAACTTATTCGCTTACCTTCAAAACCCAGCAGGCTAAAGCGGATAATTATTACAACTATATAATCGGTAGAAAGTAGGCTGATGTGATTCAATAAGTCACGATTTCACCCGATTTCCTTCAACCCGTACGTGACGTTCGGTCGTGACGAAACGAAATTGAAAAAGTGTGCCGTCGGCATGATTATCAGAAGTTCGGAGATGATAATTGTGACCATATTCCACGAACCCCTCTTCCTGACAATCGTTAGCAAGGTTGTCATTTATAGCGTCAGTGGTNCGATGAACTCTCAAATTGATTTTGCGATGAATCCCTTCAACTTATTCGCTTACCTTCAAAACCCAACAGGCCAAAGCGGATAATTATTACAACTATATAATCGGTAGAAAGTAGGCTGATGTGATTCAATAAGTCACGATTTCACCCGATTTCCTTCAACCCGTACGTGGTTCGGTCGTGACGAAACCAAATCGAAAGAGTTTGTCGTTGGCATGATTATCAGAAGATCGGAGAAGTTAATAGTGATCACATTCCACGAACCTCTCTTCCTGACAATCGTTAGCAAGGTTGTTATTTATAGCGTCAGTGGTGGAGATCAAAAACTCTTTGGAAACTTCCGTTCCTTCCTAGATGGTGCCCAGGTTGCGGGGCAGGAACGAAAGTTCGCTAACATATACAACAACAACAACTTCAGGCAGAACATTTTGCTGGTAATATGTTGAGGAGCGCTTTAATCCGATGAATGATGCGAGACCTTTCCGCCGGAAGCCTCAACTTGCTCAAGATTTAGTCCTAATTAAGCAGAGTTTCCGTAATCTTTTTCAATGGCCCTCAGTTGCACCCTTATTAAAAAAAAAAGGGGGGGGGGAATCTTTTTTGATTGCATTCGATATTCCTCAGATGGGTGTGAAAAGTGTGAATTCAACATGAAGCTTGGAAGCAATTTGCAAGTGTTAAAGACATCTTTTAAGAAAAGTTAACTGAGCGCATGTATCAAGGATTCATGTGTCAAGAAAACAGTTCCGTAACTTTGGTCTCATAATCGACTCAACGCAGGTTCAAGATCAGCATACGAAAACACTCTCGGCCATCCTGAATAGCCACTGTGACTTAAAATTCTCCCTTGCTAAGCAATGAAGTGAAGCAGAAGCAGAAATGTCACAGACAGTATTGCACTCATGGAATGAAAGCGGTGCAGCTTTTGATTTCACGATAGGCCACTTAGAAACCAGGTTACTTCCAAATGTTCTGTACTTTGCGAGCACGAGGAAACTAACCTTGGTCGTTCCTTGATTATTTCGCCGTTTGTCTTATTGATGGAGGAGATCAGTTTGACTACTGTACATGGTTCACATAGCGAATGACAGTACAGTTCCGCCTTCGTTCCTTTCATGATTGGCACGATTATATCGAAGACAACGATACGTGCCACGAAGCGGTTGCATGGCAGCAGTGCATCCTAGAAAAGAACACATTTCCTTGTTATCCCTCAAATACGCTAATATGGCGGGTCCACCCGCGATCGAGGACCGTCCGTCCGTCCGTCCGGTGTGCTGCGTGCCTGCGACGGCGTCCCCAGCCTTCGTTGAAAACACTGGATCACATGCCAGTGTTGTCATCAATTGGCTAGGGCCGCCGTTGCACGCACGCAACGCGCCGGACGGACGGACGGACGGACGTCGGCTGAATCGTTGAAGTCTGAAAGCAGCCAATAGAGACTTCACCGGTGCCTGCTCGAGGGAATCGATAATCAATGGATCGGGAATCGATAAAATGGGTCGATGGATAACACAAATGAGAAGATGTCCTTTGTTCGAGAGAAATTAGTCACGACCTGTCCACCACGTACGATCACATGTCCCGCGTGAATAGTGTCCGGTTCGAAGGCACCAGTCAAGGTCAGAATTGCTTGATCACCCGCTACACAACAATCTACTGATCCGCCATCATCGTTCGAACATGCTGCAAAACAGAATTGTTTTACTCAGACCAACTATGAGTCGAAATAGTGCAAACCTTTTATTACAGCAGCGTCTGCATTTGGCATTATGTAAACCTTATCACCTGAATCCACTTCTCCTGATTCAATTCTCCCACTCAAACTCAATTGATTACTGGTAGCCTGTATAGAGTAAACACAAATCGCTCGACAAACAATAATCAAGCACCAGACAATAACGTTCCAAGTGAAAAAAAANAAAAAAAATTGAGTACTGATAGTCAACCTTGAAAACATCATTGATTACTATCCGCAAAGGTCCTTCATCTGCTCGTTTAGGTGCAGAAAAAGTATCTGAAAGAACATCACAATCATCAACAAATTCAATATCGTGCAATATAAAACATTAGGAACTTTTTTTGCCGTCTAAGGAAGAGGCGCAGGAAGACAGAAGGGTCATGGAGAAACAACTCAGAAATACTTCCAGCGCAATAGAATCAAACTAAACAGGTAACGAGATCGTTGCAGTATTGGAAAGCATTGAATATGGGAACGGAGTAACAAATGGGTAAAAATGGGAAAATATAAGAGAAATTGCAAAAAATAAAACGACTGGGATCTGTAACTACCAAAAATACACATGAATATGGAACGAATCTAACGTTGATGGTCATATCCGAAACACGAGATTATTAACTATAACTACTGCGTGGCATATCAGTTCATCCAAATTAAGTTCAGCACTATTTACGACTTCACTTCATGCGCTCATAAAGGACACTGATCAAAAGTGTAAACCCTTTGCACGACATTCCCCATTATATTGCCAGTAACAGAGCAGAACACTGCTGCAAATTTTGCATGCACTCATTACTAGCTCTCCATATATTAAGCGCCCTTTGAATCTGGAATCCTTGAAAGAACTGATGAGAAAAATTAGTGAAGCAATAACGTTACCTATGAGTTCCATTAAGCATTCACCCGAATACCACTTCCGCAGAGGGTGATCGTCGGGCACACGCTCAGATAAATTTTCGCCGCTCAAACCAGAAACAGGCACAAAACGAATTTTGCTGAATCCTGCCTAAATTTAAAAAAATAACAAAATAGTGGCGATGAGCGAGTAATCACCGACCTGTTTGCTCAGAAAAGTCTTCATCACAGCCTGAATTTCGAGAAACCGTTCATGAGACCAGTCCACGGTGTCCAGCTTATTCACAGCCACAACAAGTTGACCAACTCCTGGAAGCTATTCATTACCTTGCTTTCGGAAGAGTGCTGCAAAAGAAGCTCACCAAGCGATCGCAATAGCATCGCGTGTTCTCTTGTTTGGCCACCATTCTCGAATCCTGTTTCGAACTCTCCACGAGTTGAATTAACGACTAAGATAGCCGCATCTGCTTGCGATGCTCCTTGAATAGGCATCATAACAATCTGGTCAAATCGCGGTTGTATCCTTGTTAACTCTTATACAGTGCGTTTCATAATTATAAGGTCACCCTCAAATTTTGCACTTTCAAGAAAAGCAACCATTAAAGATTTTTCCTAGCATCATGAACGGATTCCCCAGCACGGATAACCTAAGTACCCAAATTTTAGTAGCAGCTGCATTTTTCTGAACATTTTTAGAACAGTTTATCGGTTTTTGCACCGTTTCATAATTATAAGGTCGCCCTGAGAAAGTGAACAATTATCAATGAAAGAGAGGAAATTTCGTGTTTGAAGATATATGTAAAGGTAAACATGTGTAGCAAATGCATTTCTAAACCTGACTGTCAACATGACCCGTGGTCATCTGCTTTCCACTGATGAGAAGGCTTATCATGAAGGTGGGCTCTGTACTCGAGCAATCTCCAGGCAAATAGGGGGATCCCCTTGGTCCATTCGAAGATTTCTGGAGAGCTTTGATGTCCCTAGATATAGCACCGACTGTGGACACTGAAAGATTACTGCCCGTGACGAGCGGAAGATTCTGGGGGCTGTTTTCAACAGTACGTCCTCCATGAACCAGATCCGATCGGAATTAAACCTCTCTGTGTCGGAAACTACAGTCTGGAAAGCAGTGAGAAGATGCGAGAACATCACCAGGCAAGCAATGGAGAAGGTGTCACGAATCACCGATCGCCACAGAGAGGCTCGACTCGGATTTGCAAAGATGAACCTTGGGAGAGATTGGGCAAAGGTAGATCTGCATCAAAATCTCAACATAGAGCTGAATAATTCCCATTCAGGTCGTCTTTTCGGATGAAAAGAAATTCAATCTAGATGGTCCTAACGGAAACAAGCGGTACTGACGCGACTTGAGAAAGGAACCAGTCTACTTCAGCCGTCACAATTTCGGTGAAGGAAGTCTATGGTGTGGGGTGCATTCTGCAATGATGTCATGTTGGATCTACCTGTCGTGAGCTGCAGTACGGATTGCAAGGATTACAAGAACGTCTTGGAGCATCATCTAGTACCCCTTCTATGCCATCGCCGTCACCTCAACTATGTCTTTCAACAAGACAATGCTTCCATTCATTTGAGCCGTGCAACGGATGAGTGGCTGCAAGGCCAATAAATAAGTGTCCTGCCATGATCAGCCTGCAGTCCCGGTCCCAATCCGATGGAACATATCTGGGGCATAATAGTCAAACAGGTTTATGCGAATAACCGTCAGTTCCAGAGCACAGAAGAGCGATTATCGAAGCATGGACAGCAATCGATGAGGAGCTCTTCGAAACTTAGTTTCTACTATGCCACGCAGGCTCTTTGATGTTGCTCTTAAACAAGGAGGGGCTATAGATTATTA